AGTGAAACATGCAAATTTATATTCCACCTAAAATTGCGTTTGGGAACCACTGATACAGTGGAATAAACACGGACTTTATATCTAAGGAGATCTGGGGTTAACTACTTGCTCTGTCACCTAATTATATAGTCTTAGACAAGTCACTTAGTGTCCTCAGTTCTCGGTTCCCTGATTTGTGTTTTGAGACAGAATCTCGCAGTGTAGTTCAAGCTGACCTTGAACTCATTCTGTAGCCCAGGATGGTCTCAAACTCACTATCCTCTTGCCTCTGCCTTGTGCTGGGATTGCGGGCCTGCGCCATCACACTGCCTTTCCCTGATTTGTAAAATGAGGATAGGAATAGCCACCTTGCAGAACTGTGAGGAATAAATGCAGTACTGTGAGTGCCCAGTGACCAGACAGGTGTTCAGTATTGCTGGTTATTATTGTGGTTATTACTGTGGTCTAGTTATTTCTGAGGACTGTGTCTACACTGGAATATAGGCTTGTGGTTTTCTGCTCATATGAACTTGTTAGGACTTCCAGTACATCTATATTATTTTGACTTCCTAGTTCTACCACACATTTGCTTTGTGATTTTTGGACAATTTGCTTAACTTCTCTATTCCCTAATTTACCTACCAGTAGTTTTTTTTTTTTTTGGTACCGGCGATTGAACTCTGGACCTTGCGCTTGGAGGCAGGTGGCAGAACCACTGAGCTAAATCCCCGGCCCGCCTACCAGTAGTTTTTTTGTTTTTTGGGTTTTTTTGGTACCGGGGATCGAACTCCTGTCCTTGTGCTTGCTACCAGTAGTTTTTAAAGTATAGCTACTAGTAGGAGAGTATGTATGTTATTTTCTAGCTCTGTTCCACTAGGGGGCCTAGAAGCGCTGCACTTACAGTACTAGCAAAGGGCACATTTAGCAGTTGTGGTTTGTAAATAGCATTCTCCACCAAAGGAACTAGGGCTCCCTGGAGAAATAACTGGTTCCAGGGCTGGGGCAGTAAAGTAAAAGATGAGCCTGGAACACCTTTTAGTGTCAGAAAATAAGGAACTGCTCAAATAGTGATGAGGGTATTAAAAGGTCACAGAAGCCAACTTGAAGGAGCTCCCAATGGGCAATTTAGAGACAATATGAACAACACAATAAATAATGATAATAATGAATTATACCTCATAAGTATACATGAGTCCATTTTGATATAGATAATTGAATAAATAACAAAAGGAGAAAGAATAGCTCTTTTTATAGTAAAATTCCAGTTAATAAATGTAGAAAGGCCAGGGATGTAGCTCAGTGGCACTGCGCCTGCCTGGCAAGCTCAAGGTCCTGAGTTCAATCCCTGGTACAGAAAAAAAAAATGTAGAAAGAATAATTAAATAGAAAAATCACTATTTGGGTAATGCTACAGTAATAACTGTTAGCAAGAGTTATTAATAAATTCTAAAACTTAATGGTTAGCTGGGTATGGTGGTGCATGCCTGTAATCACAGCACTCGAGAGGCTGAAGCAGGAGGATTGCCTGAGTGTAAGGCCAGGCTGGGCTAATAGTGAGTTCAAGGCCTGTCTCAAAAACAAAACGGGGACAGGGATTTAGCTCAGTGGTTTCCCCGCCTGCTGCGCAAGTGCAAGGTCCAGAGTTCAATCCCTGGTACCAAAAAAACCCCCAAAACCCCCCAAAACAAAATAACAAAACAGGGCCGGGAATTTAGCTCAGTGGTTCCGCCGCCTGCCTCCCAAGCGCAAGGTCCGGAGTTCGATCCCAGGTACCAAAAACAACAACAATAACAAAAAAAAACCAAAGCAAAACAAAAAACCACCTTAGTGGGTAAAAGTATAAGAAGCAGAATATTTTCAAAATATTAAAGTATCTCTTCTTGGCTGGGTGTGGTAGCGCATAATCCCAGCATTTGGGAGGCTAAGGCAGCAAGATCGCCACAAGTTTGAGGCCAGCCTGGGGTACATAGTGAGTACAAGGCCAGGCAGAACCAAGGCCAGAGAGACTCTGTCTCAAAAAACAAAAAAACAAAGCAAAACCAAAAAAACACCACCACAACAACCCTCCCAAACCCCAACAAACAAACACAAATAAACAAACAAGGTATCTCTCCACAAGATACAGGGAGAAAAATACAGTTGTAACTTTATAGACACCACCTTCACCAGTTAGCATCACCAGTAATGAGCCAGCGATGTCCTGGGCCTCCAGTACTGAGGATGTATCCCTTTGTGGTATTCTCACCCAAAATCCATTACCTGAACTTAATCAGGAGAAAATATTGGACAAACTCAAATTGAGCACATGCTACAAAGTATTTTGAAATTTTTTTTTCAGTCAAGATCATGGAAGATGAGGAAAGACTGAGAAACTACCCCAGATTGGAGGAGACTAAGGAGACATGGCAGTTTTATTTAGTGTGGGATCCTGGATTGCACTCTGGAGTAGAAAAAGGACATTATTTGGATGATTAACAAAATTTGAATGTTTGTGAATTAGTTACCCTTAGTGTACCAGTGCCAATTTCCTGGTTTTGATAATCTTGTTATGGTTATGTAAGATTATTTGAAACAAACCAGAGGAACAATATACTGGAACTCTATTTTTTTTTTTTTTTTTTTTTTTGGTATCAAGGATCGAACTCTGGTCCTTGTGCTTGTGCAGCAGCCAGGCAAAGCCACTGAGCTAAATACCCGGCCCACTCTGACTATTTCTGCAACCTTTTTGAAAGCATGAAAAATAAAAACTTAAAAATATAAAGGTACACTAGATTTCTATGAGGACAAAATGAGATAATGCCATCCGTGTGGAGCACTTAGAACAATGCCCGAAACATGAGTTCTTAACACATGTCAGCTCTTATTAATAGTAATTTTATGATTAAGTGATATAAGTAGTGAATAATCTATTGTAAGTAATTTATTTCCTAATAGTCTCATATATTCTTAACTTTATTTTTTGACTGTTTCCCCTGTGAAAAGAATACTGTGGTGAGCACAGATGTAGTTATTTCTAGAGATAAAAAGTAAGATCAGATTTTATTTTGAGGATTGTTTTAGAGGGTGAGGGGGTGGTGTCATTTCCTCTGGTCGCTCATTGGCTCAAATTTATGCTGGCAAAACTGAACTCAGAAACTGCTCGCTGGGAAGCAAGGCTTGATTTCCACTGCTGCCCTTTCCAGGGCGCTTGTGATAGCGCCACCTGGCGACAGGGCTGCCCTTACCCAATTCATCATCCTTGGGCTTTAGGAGCTGTTTTACAAATTGGACTTCTTTTATTGAACACCTTGTAGATGCATGTTATAGATCATTTAATCTTTATAAGTCTATATGCTAATTGGTATTTTACTGACTTTTGAGATGATAAAACTGAGGTTCACAAAAGTTAAGTGACTTGTCCAGGTTTGCAAAGTGAATCCAGAGCCGGGTTTGGATCTAGGTCCCCTAACTGTAAGGCTGAGTCTAAATGTGTTGTTAAATTGGAGAACTATTAGCATAGAGGAATGATTCTCGAATAGGTGTCTGTCCCTGTCCCTCATTTGGCAATGTCTGGAGATATTTTTAGCTTTCTTGAGGGGAACTGTCATCTAATGGATGGAGGTTTTCTAGCTGCTGCTAAACATCTTACAATACACAGAATGGTCCCCTATGACAAAGAATAGTTCAGCCCCATGTGTCAGCAGAGTGGCTATTGAATCCTAGTGCTGAATCTTAAAAGGGCAAAATTTTGAACTTAGAAATGTGAGGACTTAGCTAATATTTACTGAGTAGTGTGCTGCATAGTGTGACGGCTGTAGAAACAATACACCAGTTTGTGCTGGCACGGAGGTCACACTCTGGAAAGGAAGGGGTTGGAGGCAGGAGAGCCTCCCCCTCTTTCAGTCTGAGACAAAAATACAACAAATGCAAAAGGCGAATCAAGCTAGGGCTGAGCATGCTCTGAGAAGGAGGCATGCGTGTCTGGTTCTGGCAGGGACCGAGGGAGGCTGTAGGGAGCAGCCAGGTTTTGAGCTGAATGTGTGAGCAGGGTTGAGCTGATGGGAACACACAGAACCCGTTCAGGGGACTGCACAGTCTACTTCATGTGGAGCATAGAGTATTGGTTAATGAGTAGGAAAAGTAGGTCGGGGCCAGAGCACTGAATCCATCTGTCATAGTGTTGGAAAAGCTTTCCATTCCCGAGCAGTGGCCTGGGTCCTAGGGATGTGGGACTCAGCAGCTTCTGGGGCGGTCTCTAAAAAGGAGGGGAAGTTTGAAATTAGGATGGAGTAGGGTGGAACTTCTGATTTTAGGACCAAGTTGATGCTTTGTATGTAACAACCTGTTTCACCTCAAAGTAGCTCTTGGGGAGATGGTGCTCTTGAATAGGAATATATATGGGGATGATCTCTCTTCTGTGCATTATTTTGGAAAGATCAGGGCCACTTCTGCTGTGGTGAAAACCGGAGCGAATTTGGAACCACTGCCCAAGGCTGTTAGCACAGGGCTTGGTATGGCTTTGGGTCCATATCAGTATGGTCTGGCGACAGGATTTTTCTTATTATTACACGACCATTACATAGGATTAGAAACTGCTGGTGGCATGTGGCACCGGGGAAATTCATTACTGTTCTGGAGAGGGGGTTGAGGAGACAGTAAGATCAGCACATGCTGGTTGACCTAGCGCACACGCGTGTGTATTTCGCCAGCTATAGTTGCAGACCCCTTCACGTACAATATCTTTTGAACTCTCTCAACACACTTTAGTTTATGTACTGTTGCCTCCTTTTTCTAAATGAGGAAACCGGCACCGAGAAAGGCTATCTTGCCCCAAATCTTTGTAGCTCAAAGGGCTACACTTTAATGCATGTGTGGCCTGTTTTGCCACCATTTTTTTTTATCCCTTACCCCCTTCATAGAAAAATTAATCTTTTTTTTTGTACAGGGGATCGAACTCAGGTCCTTGCACTTGCGCAGCAGGCAGCAAAACCACTGAGCTAAATCCCCAGCCTGAAAAATTAATCTTTAAAAAATTTTTTTACCTGGATTTGGGCTGCTACAGACCATGGACATCAGCATTAGTGGCAGCAACAGAAGGAGGAAGGAGATTGTAACCTTCATGGTGGCTGTCAGTGCTGCTGCAAGTTCCTTGCAGTGTCTGAAATGCTCCCAGGCAGTGGCTCCTGGTTCCTGGGAATGGCTTACATGCGGTGGTTGGCTTAGTGGTCTGGGCTTTAATCCCAGCCCAGTGTTCTCATGAGAGGGCAAGAACAGGTGAGGTGACGCTGAGTTTGTTGTTAGCTAACAGACTGGACCAGGTGCTTTACGGGAATCTGGGAGGTGAAACTGATCAAACAAAAGAAACGCAGCATTCTTAAGAACTTAAGAAGTGACTGATCACTTGGCAGCCGTACTTGTTCCCTCCTGTCCTCCTTCTTGCCTCCCCACCCCTCCATGTGTTATGATTTCTCCCTCAAGACCTTTTTCTAGTTTAAATTTCCTTATATCTTTCACTGACGGTTTCTAGCAAGAAAGTGGCCACTACCGGTTGGCAGAAGAGAGAGGGACATGTCTGTTTCCCCTCTGTCCTTTCCACTTCATCCTTGGCAAAGAATGGCAAGAGTAATGCTACTGCTTGGACAGTGGCCCTGTCCTCACCTTGTTCCACCAACTCTGTAGCCATGTAAGGCTGCAGAAGGGCAGGATGAGGAGAGGGCAATTCTCCCTTGTTCAAAGCACTGCTCCCGGGCCCGTGGTAAAACCAAGCCTCCTCATGGTTCATTGGGAAGATGGCAATGGCTTTAAAGTGTGTTTTCCCAGGCAGCTGGGGCTTCTGCCACCAAACTTTGGTTGGAAACATCTCCAGGCAAAAGAAGAAAAGTAATAATACTTTAGTAAACACTAAGGGTTATTGTGTTAGCTTCCCATCACTGCAACGAAACACCTGAGATTATCAGCTCAGAAGAGGAGAGGTTTATTTTGGCTGATGGTTTTGCTCCATGGTCATCTGTTCCACATTGCTTTTGGGCCTATGGTGAAGCAGTGCATCATGGTAGGAGCACATGACAGAGGGAACTGTTTGCCTCATGGGAACCAGGAAGCAGAGACAGGAAGGGGGGAGGGTCTCAATATCCTCTTTAAGGGCACTGCTCTAATGGCCTAACTTTCTTTTAGTAGGCTTCATCTCCTGAAGGTTTCATCACTTCCCAATTACACTACAGGCTAGAGACTGAGCCTTTAGCATATGAGCCTTTTGGTGGCATTCAAGATCCAAACAACAGTCATGGAACATGAGCACTTATAAACTTGGTGTCTATCCCAGAGGCTTTAGAAATGTGTCAGAGAAAGAGCAGAGACTGGGTTTGACTGCTGGGTAATTCTGTGAGGGCTGAAGGGATAGTTAACAAGGAGTCCTTCCTGGAAGCCTCCAGGAAGGCATGAGAAAAGATGGTATGACTTAAAAGAGAAGGCACTGATCAACCTCTTTTTAATTTTTGTTAGGCTATTCCTAGTCTCTCAGTTTTCAAGATATCCTGGCCTATTGGCATATTGGAGAATTGTGCTAGGAGATGGAAGCTATTTTCAAGTTGAAGTCTTGGGTTTGGTCTGGGTTTGGTTTGATACAAACCACTGATACGCCTTCTTTCTGGAAAATTCTTTTTTTGGGAAAATTCTTAAAATGGACTCCATTTTCAGGATGGTTAAGCCTAACCAAGGAGATGCCATTCACTTCATAAATCCTATAGATAAAAGTGGAACCAACGTTCATTCAGAGGTAGCAGAGGTTCACTGAGGACTGAGAGGGACTCTGGCTTAGGTGGTACTTGAGCTCAGTCTCATAGGTGGGGTAGAATTTGGATTGGTGGAAGGCAAAGAAGATGGGAGAACAGAGGAGTGTGTTGTAAACTGGAGCTAATTGGATATTTGAGGGCAGGGCCACAGACCCTGGGATGCCACAGGATGCATGTAGGGTCTGGTACTATGGAATACTCTACAAACATTTATTGAATTGAATGATAATTTTGTTTGTTTGTTTGTTTGGTACCGGGGATCAAACTCGGGTCCTTGTGCTTATGAGGCAGGTGGCAGAAGCACTGAGCTAAATCCTGGACCCTGAATGATAATTTTGTAACCGCTTAACTAGGCCTATGTGTTGGAGAGTGCGTGGAAGTACAACTCATTAAGAAGAGAGAAAACATTATGGATACATGGTTATGTCTTCACAGGGAGCCCAGTGGGGATGCTTTGTTTTGCCTTCCTCATAAAGTTGTGTTAGTCAATGCTGAGAGTTTCCTCTGGGTTACCCCAGTCTGTTTACCCTTGCTCAGCTAGTGAACTGGCCGGAATTTTTTTCGCTGTGGTTTTCCCCTCTGTGGATTTGGGTGGGGTCATATCGCAGGATAGGGCTTTGGGACTTTCAGGTTCGTTGATATACAACACCCTTGAGACAAACAGACTTTTTCTTTGGTTAATATTAACAACTTCTAGCCCATGTCGGAAACATTATTTGTGTCAAGAGTCTCCCTGATTTGCAAAAGCCCTCCCCCAGAGAGGGGTAAAGGGCGAGCAAGGAGAAAGCTCCACTCTGCCATGGTTATTTGCTTTCCCCATTCTGCAGTGTACTTGGCAGACATTCAAGAATATTTGCTAATCGCTTCCATGCTTCCAGTTGCTCTAATAATAGTCATTTGTTCATGCATAAATTTGTTGAACACTGGATTGCCCAGTGTGTGCCTGGTATCTGCTGGATGGTGGGTGCCAAAGAGAATAAGGCTTGGTGCTGTCTCTAAGGAGTTCTCACACTTGTCCCCCTTTGGAGGGTTGGAAGCTAAAGTACAGGGAGGTTATATGATTAGGTCAGTGTCATCAGCCAGTTAGCCTCAAAGCCACAGGAATGAAACACAATCTTGCTATATTTTCTTTCTTTTTTTTTTCTTTTTCTTCTGGTACCAGGGATCAAACTCAGAACCTTGCCAGACAGATGCAGTGCCACTGAACTACATCCCTGGCCCTCTTGCTAGATTTTCTGTTAGTGTGAAGCTATCTGGCTGCTGCACATGCAAATGTGCTGAGCCCTGGTAGGACAGAGAGCACATTTAAAACGAAGTGGGAGCTCACAGCCTCCCTGATTACCCGGAAGGAAATGCCCAATCTAACCGTGACAGTGAAGAGGACCATCTGGGACATTTACATTCTCCTATGTCATTTTGAGCTTGATGTGAGGAAAACTGAGCCAAAGGAACCAAGAGTGGAAGATTTTTCCCAGGCTGTTGATGAGATGGGCCCCCCCCAAAGTCAGTGTTGACATCTAACATAGTATTTCTCACTCAGCTATAGTAGTCTAGTTTTGAATTGGATTTCCTCCAAACCCTGAAGCTCTGTGTGTGTGTGTGTGTGTGTGTGTATGTGTGTGTGTGTGCGCATACACACACATGTGCATGTGGCCAGATCCTATTCATCTGTGTTGCTCTAGTGTACACTTCATAACATATTAAATATTCCTTCCTTCCTTTTTAAAAATTTTGACAGGGGTCTTCCTATGTAGCCTAGGCTGGCCTAGAGTTCATGATCCTTCTGCCTCAACCTCCCTAGTGCTGGGATTACAGGTGTATGCCACTTGTGCCTGGCTCTGATAAGTAAATTTTACTTCTTAAAAAGTAAAATGAGGGGCTGGGGATTTAGCTCAGTGGTTCCGCTGCCTGCCTCACAAGGGCAAGGACCCCAGTTCAAACCCCAGTACCAAAAAAAAAAAAAGTAAAATGGGATTTAAAAAAACCTAGGGCCAGGGATTTAGTTCAGTGGTGCTGCTGCCTGCCTTACAAGCACAAGGTCCTTGAGTTCGATCCCTGGTACCAAAAACCAAAAAAACCAACCTAATACACCTACACAGGTATGGAATGACTGAGCAGCAGCACAGGTAGGAAAAAGTAGTATCCCCAGATCAGCCGCTGTGGTATTTGGCCTTCTAGATATGTGGGTAGTGCCAGTATGGGGGGATGGGTAGCCCTGTGGCTCTGGTGCTGTGGTTGGAACACTCCTAAAATTCTGAGTTTCCCAGGTGCCTGCTGAGCTTCACACACAGGAAAGTGACAGGCAAGTGCATGGGCTTCAGATCCTATCATTTGGAAGATGCCTGAGGGAAGATAGTTGTGGGGGTCTGGCACATGGTGGTGGATACAAGTATTTGAAAAGTTGTTGTATAAAAAGGTATTATTTTGGTGCCCATACGGAGTAGGAATAGGTGAATGTGTATCAGACCAAGTGTGGCTCAGGATGCCAAAGAACTGTGGCAGAAAAGTAAGTTTCCTCGGAAAATTGCATGTTTACTGGTAGAGTTCAGTTAGGGGCTGTCTGAAAATAGCTGTCACAGTGATTCCTACAATTACAAAGGTGGAGTTTGGTGTGGATCTCAGGTTTTCCACTAATAATACATTTATTATTGGGTACTATAAAAATCCCTTTGAAACATGACATTTTGCCATGATGCCTGCCAAATTATCACTGTGCACTTTGTGCTTCTCTTATCACCACGTGTGGATTGGAGTTCACCCTCCTTCCCCTCATTTACTGAGAACCGCACAGGTTAAATACATTTACTGATCATGCTCACAAGGTGGCAGCACGTCCTCACTGGTGTTTCCTAAAGAATTCATATGGGCAAGTCTGGGGCAGGCTATGGGCACAAATGAGGCAAACGGATAAAATTTTTTTATTTTTCTTTTTCTCCTATGGAGCAACAGAGTTGAAGTGAATGTGAAATAACTGCATTTTATTTTATTTATTTATTCTTGGTACCAGGGTCAAACTTGGGACCTTGTGCTTGTGAGGCAGGCACTGGAACCACTGAGCTAAATCCCCAGTCCATAACTGCATTTCCGAACTGGAAGACACTTTGGAGAAGTGCTTCCCAAACTTCAATATACTTGCGCACCTCCCAAGGATCTTGTTTAAGTACAGATTGTAATTCTTCTGATGGGGACTACAATTCTGCCTCTTTTTTTCTTTCTTTTTTTTTTGGTACCGGGTATTGAACTCAGGATCTTGTGCTTTCGAGGCAGGTGGCAGCACTACTGAGCTAAATCCCTGGCCCTTCTGTCTGTCTGTCTGTCTTTCTTTCTTTCTTTCTCTCTCTTTCTCTCTCTCTCTTCCTTCTTTCTTCCTTCCTTCCTTCCTTCCTCTCTCTCTCCCTTCTTTCCTTCCTTCCCCCCCGCCCCCAACAGATGAAGTCCTGCTACGTTGTCCAGGCTACCCCCCAACTCCTCGGCTCCAGTAATCTTCCTGACACAGACTTTCAAATAGCTGGGACTACAGA